AACAAAAACAGCGTGCGCAACCAATCTTGGCTCTATTACTGTATAATGGAAGAATGAAAGGGTAAAGAAAAAAGAAAAAAGTCGGGCGAACCCCCCCTCGACTATGATTACGCTCTCTCTCGCTCCAGGGTATATCATACTGGTAATGTACCCCCCCCCACACCTCTCCAGTTGACCGGGGTGATCTGCGTCTTCCTTCGCCTACCGGTACCCGGTTATGATGCTGGAGGGAGAACGGTGGGAGCCATGATACAAAAAAGGTAATTTATACTACCGCTGGCAACCAATCGCTCAGCAAAAGTAACAAGAGTCTGAAAAGTCTCGCCGAGTAAAAAAAAAAAAAGTGACGAAAAACACGTTTTGTAATACCGGTATTATCCTTCCTTCGATAATTCCACACGGGCAGGGGGAGGGGTGTCTCTCCCACCATACTCGTACCCCCGCAGTCCAGATCGAGCAGTTGCAGGATGGACATTATATCACAAACCGTCGGGGGGTGTAGATGATATGAATGGGGGAAAAGGGAAAAAGAAAAGAAAAAAGAAAAGAAAAAAAAAGACCCGGTTTGGGTTCCGCCCCACTTCTAATTTTTCCGGGGATATGACACTTGTACAATAATTGTAATTAACGCCGTGTATGGAGCCCCGGTTTTGTCAGAGGGGAGGAAGTGAATACGTAAGCCGCAGGATACAGTACTGTACTTGTACCGGTACTGGTACCTACTGGAACGATGAGATGGTATGATACGAGTATAATAGGAGGAAGGAAGGATAGATGCATGGTGACTTTTGAACTCATGTCAGCTAGGAGCCATGTGCTGTTCGCACCAGATAAAAAAGGAAAACGTGACTAGTATGATAATTACCGGTAAGTAATTGCCAAGCACAAAGTTAAAAACCCCAAGGTTTGACCTGGCAAAGACATTCATTCAACTGCTTTGGGGAAAAAAAACGACCATAAAATAAAATAAAAAAGAGAGAAAGGCTCTGGAGACCTTTTGCTTGATCTGTTTAGGACTTAGAGCGGGTTTATATCCACCTATCGCTCGGGTACTCGAGGAATCTTTGCTCAAGTTCGGTTTCTATGATAAAGAGTTGCGATGTGGTGGGGGGGGGTGTATCATCAAATCTCACTCGTTACAGTACTGGGTTTTTTCCCTTCCTTGAGCACACTTATGCTGGCCGACTGCCAGGTGGGTACGATATCATGGATGGATTGAGGGTGCTACAGCCGGCCGGTCCACGGGTGGAAACAAGAAGAAGACAGTAAGTCTCTAGTGTGCCCCATGCTCAATATTACAAAGCTCTAGGTATCATACTCTGCTATACATTACGGTATGTACACCACGAAGGAAATCGGATGGGCCCAGTACGGTATCGTAAGTTAACTGGAAACTCCCTATTACCCTGCCTCGGCAGGGTTTCCCCATCCGCACACGAAACGGTTGCCCATCACCGGCTGCTTTTCGTTCCGGGCACGGCGCAGACTGCAACGTAAGCGTGATGACCGTACTATACTTGCACGATATTTGACATGGCATCCTGGCGAGTGGGTAACAACGCTGCAATGCTCCACACTCGTACCCTCGCCCCGGGGACTGCGGAGGCGATGCGATGCGGTGCGGTGGGACTATCGTGGACTGATGTTCATCGATCGGGACGGCGTTTGGTTGGGATCGGGATG